TCGTCGAACGCTTTGTCAGTTTCCTCTTGTATTTTCCGCTTCATCCACAACATCAAATTGTTTTCTATTTAATTGAACATTGAAAAAGTCGTATCTTACATTTTGTTGCTCAGCATAGGCCAGATAATGGCCAAAAATTAGAGCCTACGCAAAATATTTTCCTGTTTCGGTTCAGACCGTTAACTTTACAACACGTACGACTTTTTTCCTCCTTAAACAAGCCTGATAATGGACAGTAAATATGTATGTACTAGTACAGTGAATGAATAAAAAATTTATTATCTTGACAAGATTACTTCAAACGATGCTTTCACGATTATGTTTTTGGTATATTGTTCCAAATTCACAAGTAATAATTTTAAAGATATGTTTTGTAAGCTCATTCTTTTTAGGCGCATGTTTTCAATTACTTTTTTCCTTTTACATTGTTCAATATTTTCTTTTTCATCGCTGAATCACTAATTACCATGTAAACCGCACAGCGCTCAATTAAATGTGTATCACAATCTTATTCAAACGAACCCCCGCACGCGCTCACGCACACACAAACACTTTGACATTATTAAACGTTTCTTGTTTACATACAGATCATTTCGTTCCCTCTGACATTTATGTCTTACGACCCTGTTTCGTGCCATGTATATCCTCAATGGCATGAACATTGAATGCCGGAAGTAACTTTTAGATCAAAATTTGTATTTTCAGATGCGCAACATTTCCATCGGTCAACCTTCCGACAATTTTTACCTTTCACATCAAAAATAAAAACATTTTATAAAGAAAAGAGAAAAATATATAAAAAATACAATTACGTTGAGTCATGTATATTTCAATCGGTGGGTGCTGCACGATACACAAAGGCTCATTTGGATGATAGAATATGTTTTCGTCTGTCCCGTTGTTATTAAATTAGTTAAACGGTAAACTGTTTGATGAAACATTTCTGGGCGAAGGATTTCGCACAGCCCCATTCTGTAGTGGTTGATTTGCGTACTTGCAAGTAGTTTGAGATCGAAATTTAATGGAAAAAGTTTTTTGTTTGACTGAAGTGCCAAATCAAGGGACACATAAACGGAATTGGTTTAGCGCAAGAGGCTTCATCGTTCCAAGCGAAAAAAAGAACTTTTACTTTTCATCATTGGGTGTATACCCAGTTTTTCAATCGTCTTGCCGACGAATGTTGTCTTCAAGATGTGAATACATACGACACACAACTCATCCGATGAGATGTCGACATCATTGTTCTCATTTTAGCTGACTGTGAGTGCCGAATTTTTCAAGCAAACAAAATGACATCGAACATTCAATATTGTAATTCAATGCTGAAAATATTAAAAGATTCGACAAATGCAAAAAATAAGAAGAAGAAGAAGCAAAGACTCGCAAAGCAAAGGGATTTTCTCGCATTAAATTACATTGGATTTGCCGTAGGATAATAAATCCAATTCAAAGCTTTCGGCTTCTTTTCTCCTCTATTTGACGACTGATAATGGTGTGCTGTTTCTGTTCTGGAGACATAGACGCACAAGTGATAAAATTGATTCACTTGAAGTTTTAGACAAAATCAATAAATCATTGAAGCAACCAACAAACGTTGAACATCATTTGATCACATTGCGATGACAATAAATGCCAAAACTTTCAACCAAACAACATATACACACATATAAACATTAACCGATGGATGTTGTAAGCCACTTGATTGTTTTGCACAAAAATGACTACTCCATAACCTGGCATAACTGTAATTAACCTTATTAATTAAGTCTAATGTGATCGATTGATCGAACGAAGCCACTTACTGTGGTTAGACTTTTGTGGGTTCAAATCACTCACCAAAAGACTGAAATATCAGAAACCACAGAAGCATATCTCTCTGTGTCGCTCGTTCAGTACAAAAAGGACCACACTCGAGTTGATGAAGGCGGTAAACAGAGAGAAAACGGCAATAGACGAGATGAGAATGCATAAGGACGGCATTTAATTGTGTTATATGAAAGTGTTTGGAGGTATTGCAAATATTCTTTGTCTAGCAAATGAAAGTTAAAGTACCTTGACAACTAATTATAAGCAATCATTTCTATAGCTCCGTGCTCGATAAGTTCGCTTTCACTTTTCATACATCGATTCGAAAGACGGCCTTTATGTGAGTGATTCAATTCATCGGGAGTTTTTTATCGTTGACGTAGAAAAATGTCGAATATATACATGAATATGTATAACTTTTTTTTTCTGTTACAAAAATTACACGTTCGATATAGAATGTCAAAAGTTGAATACGCCTCTGCGTACTTGCTTTTTGTTTATATTTATAAGTATGAAATTGCTTGTCGAACATTTTATCAAAGCACCAAGATTCGGTTAGAATACACCGAAAATCGAACGATAAATAAATTCTATTTCAATTTCATCGTAGATAATTACATTATCATTAATTACATTTGTGCACATTTCACGATATAAACACAGAGCAACAGACAGAAATAGCGATAAAAGCAAAAGAGAAAGCGATAGGAGAGCGATGGTGGTGCGTTTATTGAAAAATGGTAAGCACATTTTGACTGATCTGAATCACTCGTTCAAATAGATGAAGAAACCGACTCGCTTAATAACTACGGGAGCTGCTTCTTTTTACCGACGGTGAATTTTTTTTGTCCAAGAATTCTTTTAGTACAAGAGTTACTTGAAATATATTCTGTTTAAAAAAAAAAACTTGGTAAATGATTTTAAGTAGGTTTTTTAATTTATGATTTCATTCACCGGCAACCGACACAATTCAGAACGTGATGATGTTACATATACGGGTCGATCGTACAATCAACTGAAATATGAAAATGTGTGCAGTTGGTATATGTATCAGCAACAGTAGCAAAACTCCCGCAATAATCGTGTGTTTTTTTTTCTTTCTTATTAGTATTCTAGTTGTTTGAACAAAGTTTTGTGCGCTTCGTCAAAAATAAAAAACAGCACATAACGTACGAAATAAGCGAATGAATGAACTGTCAACACTTACAACTTGTTGCATGATATTAATGAAACTCGATAAAAACACAAAACACTGAACCAAAAAAGGTAAAAATGAGACAGTGAGAGAGAAGAAATGTGCAGAATGAGTGAGAGCAAGCAAAAAAAGGTATATATAGAACGTCGAACACCCAGTAAACTGCTGACTGACAAAAAATAATATAATTCGGTGCTGTGGGGTGTAAAATATTTGCGTATTGCTACGACAACTAAAAACCATTGAAATACGACGAATTTTGCCATGGCACATGTATATATACAACGAAAATCGACCAAAAACTCAAAACACTACTAGCATTTTAAAATACAAAATTTGAAAAAACAAAAACACAGATAAAACTGATGGCAGTCAAAATAGTACGTGCACATTTACAAATTTGCCACCAAAAGGTAAATAGTCGATGTTAATAATCGTGACTTTGGTTATTTATGGCAAATCGATAACTTTACGTTCGAAAAAAAAAATTTGGGTTTCGATTATGTGGCTTGACATTTTGGCTTGAATCGAAACAGAGATAAACAGAGATCAAAGGATTTTTTGTCGAATTTTTTTTTTTAATATTTTCTGTGCGATGATTGATTTGTTGTGAATTTTAATTGAGAAATTTCAGCAGGCCATGTTTCAATGTTCATTTTGTATTTGTTTTTCTTTCAATTAATTCACTTAATGCATACATTTATGGGAAAATATTTTCTTAGTCCTTTGTTCTCAAGAAAATGTTGAAGTGGGCCGAAGTGTTTTCAAATATCGTCGTCTTTTTTGTTTATTATGAAGAATGAATGTGGATTTTACCCAGTCGTGGGATAACTCGATATTCGCTCTCTCATTTGGATTGATCCGTAATATTTCAAAATGTATGTTGGAGGAGGAAGTCAAAGAGCACAATACAAAATGAGTGAAATAGTTTTGAGTTGAATATATCTCAAAAATGTGTGAGCATCAAGACATCATCAATGGCAATGCGGTGATAATGTCGATTCTTTATATACGTGAGATGATAAACGAATAGATGAATATATATGGGAATGAATATTCGCCATTAAATACTTGAAACGATGGAATTTCCGTTTTATTATTAAATATATGTGAGAATTTGTTGTTACCCAGGTGAATAAATTGTATTTAAGAGCGAGATTTTGAATTCAAAATAAATCTTCTAAGCATCTTGAGCAATGATTGGGTGTACGAACCGAGAAAATTTACGAAAATCAACGTGTTTCGTTCGCTTTTATGCGTTGAAATGAGGCCAGGGGAGTTTATAAAGAGAAAAAAGCTAGAATACACATTTTTCACATTAGCTCATATAAAGCACAAAGAGGTAATGTCAAATGCCCTTATAAAGTCCCTAACGCAGTTTCTTACACCCTTTTACTCACACACAAACAAAACAAAATGTCAAAAAACAGCTGATCGAGCGAACCATTCATAACCAACTTCATGCCACTTGTAGATTTGGAATGAAAATAATGTTTGAAATTTCTTTGATATTTCGAAAAAATGAACTAATTATTTTGGACATTTTTAATATGTTTAGAATAAAATAAATTTTTAAACATTTTTTGTACTAACAATATTTTAATAAACATTCACTTATTATTTAATTTTCACAATTTCTATCAATTCACAAATTATGATTCTTAGCACTAGCATGAAGTTGGTAATATGTCAACCTTAAATCATTCATATAAAAACATATTGTGTTCACGCACACATAAATGTTGGGGACTTTTGACAATTCCACTTTGCACAAAATGCAAAATACAATCTTATAGTTCATGAATTGCAGTTCAAATGCAATTTATCACATTGCAATACAATATATCGAAAACACTAACTCACTCACACAAACACGTGAATAAATAAATTTTACGAATAGATTATTATTATGAATATAAAGTTCTGCATAAAAAATGAATTACGTACTACGATGATTGTGATATAGTAAATGATATGATATTTCTTCATTTATACTTACGTAATTTGGAGCGATAACAATGGTAAACTATCTCTGCTTCAAATCCTTTTGTGTTCGATCAACTTCGTGTTCGCTGATATATATAAAAATTTTATGCTGATGAAATTGATAGTGCTGTTGGTGTGTCGTTTGTTATTCGTCAAACACATTCACTCGTCCCACGATAAATGATTTGTTTTCTTCAATCGTGAATCACGTTTTTTTCAGCTGATTCGTTCGTCGTTAAATTTATTTCTTATTCATTTCTTTTTACTTGTGATTTGATTCTGCTTTTGCTAGACGCTCGTATGCCTTTTGGCTACCAAAATTCAAGTGTAATGTTTTTCAAATTGTGTTTCTTTCGCTCGATAGGCGTTTAAATTGTTTTAAATCGGATCACTTGTTGAATTTGAATTATTGCTTTGCGAACGACGAAATTGGTTATTTACCACTCTGTCTGGTTTGTAGATGCCAAAAATCTTTATAAAAATCAATCAAGTGATTCGAAAATAATTGTTAAATGATGTTTAGATGATGAATGAAAAACACTTTCAATTTTCCATGCAAATAAAATCGCTTGGCATTGATTGATTGAGATCTATTCGGTGTGTTGTTTCTCTGATGTGCGTTGATTTTTTTTTGTATTATTTTGGCTGATGTGAATGGCGGAGCGAATAAATTGTTCGTTTATCGCTTGCGATGGCTGTTTTCAAACTAATAACAAAAATGTGTACTCGAGCAACTTGTAGCATTCGAAACGGTTTGTGCGGTATGTTTTCGTTGCTGCCACTGTCGGAATGATATGATGATGGTTTGGTGAAAAATCCGAAAAGCGATAACACACTCACTTGGAAAATATGTACACACAAGAATGGTGTTATTGCTTATCGTACCACACTTTGAGACGGAGAACGGCGATAGCACTGTGCACATCGTCGACATCGTTGCTACTGCTGCCATTGGCATAACCAATTGGCCTATGTCGCATAGACACCCACAGTCATTTCCATCATAGACGCAAGCTGAGCGATTGAGTGCATTGTTCTTAGAATGTGATATCCTATGGAATGTTGACGACGACGACGACGACGACGATAACTGACGACAATGACGAGTGATGTCTTTCGATTGGATAAAAAGGAGCATAGCAATACGGCGCGTGCATGGTATTACATTCTCTCTGCGGCATTTCATTAGGTTACGCTTTCCATGGAAGTAAAATGCGTATGTTAAAGCACTTTTTATATTTTGCTTTCGCTCCGTTGATATACATATCAAGACTTTTAGCACATGGGTATTATGCTGTTTTTATACATTATATATGTACCATTTTACAAGGTACGGAAGAAAGAGGAAGAGTGAAAGGGCGAAAATAAGATAAACATCCACCCAAATAATGAAAGCGGAAAAACAAAACATACACGTACCGCCGACAACAAACGCCACGTCCATACATTAGTTTGTCAAATCGTCAAATGCATGGAAAGGGTATATAATTTTGCTGTTAAAATGTAATTGATTACTGAAGTTAAGGATGATGGAGCAGATGCTTTGGAGAGAGAAAAAGCCCCAAAAAAAAAAGAGAAACATGAACGATTGACGTCGAACACACAAAGGCAATGCAAACCCTTCTTTCTGAACCTAAAAAAACGACTTAGAAGAATAAGTCGATTCGCTGTAGTCTTACAAAAGCAATATAAACATTTAAATAATCGTTCTCAATTAATATAAATCCATTCAAATAGATATATCATTTTTATGCATACTTTCACCTAATTTTATATCGTTCTTCAATTTTTGTTGTTGCTACTAATCTGTGTACCTGCCATTCAAGAATGAATCAGTGACAAGCTTAAAAGTTTTCGGTAATAACATTTGAATGTCAACGAGAGTCATTCGAATGTCTTTGTGTATCTTAATTACGTCTCTCAAAAAGAATCGGAAAAACAATCATCACGCTTCCGCTTTGTGAAAAGTAATAGAATCGAATAGAAACTGCATAAATAAAACATCAACTTCGGAACTGTGAATGGTAACTGAAACACGCAATATTTGTTTGAACACGTTAGAAAAGAAAATACACCAAAGCAGCAATACGTAGTGTTAGACTTGGAAAATTACTTTCATGCTCATCATTGCGTGATCATCGCAATCATCATGAGTATACTTGTTGACGCGTTTACACTTGCGTTTCGCATGTAACAAGCAACAGTTTCAATCGTCCATTTATTTCAACGCGTTCACATTTGGTTGAATCCATGCGTCGCTTTTAGTCAAACTAAAATAGCTATAGCATGGATCACATCACATCATTCGTCGACACAGAGCACACAAGTAGTATCGGTTAATAGGGTTGTTTTTGTTCCTGTTTTTCACAAATGTATTTTCACATCACATTGCCACTGTTTAGCGGCGACAATAACATCCACAACAAACAGCAGCTCATCATATATAGCGAAATGCCAATGCAGAGATAAAATGTGTTTAGGGAATACGTAGGCGTTCAATGAATGAATTAGGTGAAAACGATATACAGAAATATGAACGTGGGAAAAATTGAAGAACAAATGAAAAATGCTTACAGTGCTTTCTACGCTCATCTGCATGTAGATGTTATGGACTCCATTTGTAGAACGGTTTTGTCAAAAAATGATGATGTTCAGAATAGTTTGCATGATCATACGTTTTGTTATGTTTACAAATTCATCTTATTTTCGGTTTGGAAAGGACAACCGAAATTAGTACATAATTATGATGGAATAATAGGCCTGATGTCCAAATTTTTATTTGGGTTAATAGAATGATTTTTAATATTTTCTCATAAAACTTCCAATTACCATGTACAAAGAGTTCATTCAAAGGGTTTCAAAGGAAGTTTTCAGTTTTCCTCATTTAAACAATGAAATAAACTTTTACTTCGTTTCGTCATTTCAAATAGCCATATGCGAATGGGCGTCCCATTTTTTTACAAGAAACCGACTGGTGGTTTGGTTATCGCTTCCATGGGAATTCTTTCATTGAAAATCGACCATTTTTTATGACGTAACCTAATCCTTATTTATATACCATGTTGAAAGTTATGTCAATGGTTAATGATGTTCGCAAAGCCAGTGTTTTGAATTATGGATCCATTTTAAATGGGGATGAACGCATGGAAAAAGAGAAAACGAAAAAAATATAATAAACAAAACTAAATTTGATTTAAATGGCAAATGCTTTCCAACGTTTTATTGCGGCCAAGTAATCGCATATAAATCTGTAATTAGATGCTTATTACAACATTTTCACATTCAAATGGAAGCCACATCGCTGTTAAACCAATCGGGAGTTAATCAAAGTCTCTAACGCAACAAAACCAACTAAATTGAATGCGTTCGGTATCACGTTGCATCCCAATAAAATTGTTATTACATTCATTATAAAATTGCGTCGTTATATTTTTCTACTTCAAACTCATATTTTTTTTCCGCAGTGCTCCCGCATGACACCATTGGTGTCACACCATCGTCGTCATCGAGTGAAATTCAAAATCTTTGGCACAACAGCCAGTTTCAATTCTTCATATTACATTTTACATTTCGAATCATGTGAATTCGATACTTTTCGATATAGTTTCGGATATAATTCGACGGAAGAAAAAAAAAAGAAAACACTTGTTGCCATAACGTTGAACCACAATTTGTCTGTTCGATGTGTGAAAAACGGCGAGAATTGAATTTTAAAAGTGCAAATTGGTACATAATATATGCAAAACTGCAGAATGGAAAAAATTGAGATGGTGCGTTCTTTCGTTAACAGTGCATGTGGTGCACTTCGAATCACTTGTTTGGGCGGATTGTGTGTGTGTATGTGTTATGCATGGAATGTCAGATAGAGTAATTTGTTACTGGAAAATATGCACCTGCTTTCACCCTTTGTAAAATTGGAACAATGTTATTTATGTGCGCTAACTCAAGGTCTCGATGGTACGGATGCAAACCATTTTTATTGTCAATTTTCCATTGAGAAAAATTATAATAATTTTCCTTGTAAAATGAAATTGATTATCGCTTAAAGTTTTTATTCAACGCTTTGGTTTCCGACTTCCAACAAATGGCATTCTTAATTGCATTAACTTTCCGTTCATTAATATTCATGAATATTTCACCTATATTTACTAGTTTCTTCGATAAGGGAAAACATCAAATATAGACACCCTGTATAATCAATTTTGTATATGAACGCTTGAGAATAATAATGAAACTTAATTTTTGTTCAAACTGAAGTGTCCCTTCGAAATATTTCCAATAAAAGTGTCCCAAGTTTATATGGCAAACTATATACAAACTTGGGACACCTTTATTGGAAATATTCCGAAGGGACACTTCAGTTTGAACAAAAATTAAGTTTCATTATTATTCTCAACCATTCATATAATAAAAATGTAAAAAATCTAGTTTGCGGCAGATTTGACCACATTAGGGGCATGGAATTCAAGTGAAACTTTCAATATTGAATTGATTCTAAAAAGGAATTCTTTGAACATTTTCGAGCATAATTCATCCGATAAAAAGAGAACCCACAAAACAAGTCAGAGTTATTCAATTCTATTTTAAACACTCCATAAGGGAAAAAATCTGTTCGCAGAAAGAATCTGTTCACTTCTTTAAATCTTAAATATAGTATAAACAGTTGATTAGAGAACACATTTTTAATTAAATGATCACGATATTCACGCTATTTTATATAATAAATGTAAAACGTAACAAAACACATACGCAAATACGCAACAACTTTTTTTGACAAAACATTTCGCAAGTATACTGTTGAAATCATACGAAGAAAAAAACTGTTGAAATCATACTGATCCCATTTTGAATGATTGTATTGAAAAGTCGATGTTTTACAACACAAACAAGTGCATAAATCACCAGTAATGTACATAAAACTGGTGAAATAAGCCTGTGACTGTGGGTGCTTTTATTGGATGTTTGAAGAAGGTACGAGGTTCAACGTTAGATATTGATTGCTGTCATGATTACAATGTGTTAAGCTTCGTGTCAAAAACTCCAAAATTCCCGATGTAACTTGTGTCGTATCTAAAATATTATTTACCAATAAAGTTTCCACGTAATTCTTTCTTCACTGATTTAGATGAAATCGATTCCCAAATATCGGTGCAATACGATATTTCCACCAACAATTCATAAAGATGAATAGATATATGATGTAGTAAAGTGTCCAGGGGCGAATATACAAGAAATTGAACAGATTTGGCATAAACAATATTAAAGTAACCTTGCATTTTTTAAAGGTTTACTTGTTTACACAAAAAACTTGATGATTTTTTTTCTTCATTATTACTAAAGTGTTGAGAATTAACATAAAAAATGTTTGGGTACAGGAATCCGAATCCCCCAAGCATGACACATTGATGTATTTGTGGATCTGTGTTTTCAATTTATATCGATTTGTAATTCAATCTATCGAAGTTAAACAATCATTTCCGTGAGTCGATCACGTTTCGCATCGTTTCATTTTTCTCAATTTTTTTCTTCCCCCTACACATCGACTAGACTGTTCTTATTTAAAATCGTGACGATTTCTTTTGTTTTCTAATTCAATCGGTTGTGAACTCGGGTAAATCGTTTCACGTTGATGTCATTTGAGATGGAAAGAAATAAAACCATTGTTTCTCGTTTCAAATCC